TTTTTGAGTTGGTGTCTCACTCTTTTGCTCAGACTGGAGTGCAGTGGCCACTCACGGCCACCGCAACCTCAACCTGCTAGGCTCCAGCAATTCTTCCGCCTCAGCCTTCCAAGTAGCTGGAACTGCAGGCGCGTGCTACCACACCCGGCTTATTTTTGATTTATTGTAGAGATGAGGTCTCGCTAAGTTGCCCAGGCGTGTCTCAAACCCGCGGGCTCAGGCAATCCACTCACCTCGGCCTCCCAAAGTGCTGGGATTGCAGACCGAGCCAGCAAGCCCGGCCCTGTGCATATATTTGGTTGCAATATAAAATGTATTTTTCACCATGAATTATGGTCAAAAACACTGTGCTAGGCATTGTGTGAGGCACAGGAAATGGGAGAAAGCAATCAGTATGGTTGTATTCAAGAAGGTCATGGTCCCATAGGTATCATTGATGTAAAATTAATGTTTGCAGCCAGGCTCGGTGGCTCAGCCTGTAATCCCGTGCTTTGGGAGGCTGAGGTGAGTGAATTGCCTGAGCCTGAGGGTTCGAGACCCGCCTGAGCAACTTGGCAAGACCTTATCTCTACAATAAATTAAAAAATCAGCTGGGCATGGTAGCGCATGCTTGTAATAACGGCTACTCAGAAGGCTGAGGCGGAAGGAGCGCCGGAGCCTAGCCTGGGAGCAGCCACTGCACTCCATTCTGGGCGACAGAGTGAGACTCCAACTCAAAAAAAAAAAAAGCAATGTTTGCCAAGGTTGATAAGGAGTGTGGGGAAATGGGAGCTCTCAGGGTGACTGTGAGTCCTGAGAGACGTGGGTGACAGTGTCCTTGATCAAGAAAGGGACTTGAAGAAGAGACTCAGACCTCAGGGTTGGGGGAAATGAGGGGCCCATTAGGAATACGCATGAATTCAGGTGCTTATGGGACATCAAGAAAGCCATGGGATGCTCTGAGCTTGGCAGAAGGCACATGTTTGAGATGTGGAATGAGGTGTCATCAGAGTTCAGCTGGCAGTGGGATCTGTGGGCCTGTGAGACTGCCTAGGGAAAGGACCAGGATAGAGTCTTGCTGACATCGGCATTTAAGGGGCAGGTCTCCACAGCAGCAGATAGAGGGAGGACAGGAGAGAATCTCATCTATTCCACCGGGAGGGATCTTGGGTTCTGGCAGGTCCTCTTGTTTTGGGATAGAGGATCCATGCCAGTGTGGAAGGATGGGAGTTTTGGTCTGTCATGTGTCGTTTGATGAACTGGACAACAGCGTAGATGTGTCTGAAAAGCTAACTCCCTTCTAGAAATGCAAGAAGATTGTTGTTTTGAGAAACTCCTTTAAAAATTTTTTTTTTTTTTTTAGTTAGGATCTCTCTCTGTTACCCAAGCTGGAGTGCAGCGGCATGATCAGGGCTCACTGCAGCCCCAACCTCCTGGGCTCAAACGATCCTGAGTAGCTGAGTAGACGATCCTTTCACCTCAGCCTCCTGTGTAACACCATGCCTGGCTAATTTTTAAAAAGTTTTTGGAGATACGAGGTCTCGCTGTGTTGCCTAAGCTGGTCTCAAACTCCTGGGTTTAATCAATCCTCCTGCCTAGGCCTCCCAAGGTGCTGGGGTTACAGACATGAGAGCCATTATACCCAGCTAATAAGCCCCCCTAACGGGGAAATGAGACTCCCCAGGGGCAGGCTAGATGAGTCATAGATGATCACGGAATGTCTTTCTAAGGACAGTGGGACAATTCTACCATGTGCTTTGTTCAACGGGACTTGGGGGGTTGGGCCACAGCTGAAATACTGGGGACAGAGAGGAGAGAGAGACCACTATCACCGGCTTTCACTCCTGCCATCCTTCCCTACGTGTGGCTTCCTCTCCAAAGCAGATATCTGAAGAATGTTGGTGTGAAGTGGCATCAAGTTTAAGTCTTCTCAGGTTACCAATGTCTGTTTCTTGCATAAATGAATGGTTGGGAGTGGAATAATGAATGAACAGATATATATATATTTTTTTGAGTTAGAGTCTCACTGGGTCGCCCAGACTGGAGTGCAGTGGCCGCTCCCAGCCACCGCAGCCTCGACCTGCTCGGCTCTAGCAATCCTTCCCGCCTCAGCCTTCCAAGTAGCCGGAATTACAGGCATGTGCTACCACGCCCAGCTGATTTTTTAAAAATTTATTGTAGAGATGAGGTCTCGCTGCCCAGGCGGGTCTCGAACCCGCGGGCCCAGGCAATCCACTCACCTCAGCCTCCCAAAGGTGCGGGATTACAGGCTGAGCCACCAAGCCCGGCAGACCAATATCTTTTATTCAAATGTATCACTTTCTGTAGACCACCTAAACCATATGAGGGTATATTGTACATATTTCCACATAAAGATCTTTTCGCTTCCATGATGCCACATCCTCATTTTCCACCCACTTCTCCGTCCTCCCTTCTTGGGCTCCTAGAAGGGACAGTCCCTTCTTCCCAGCTTATAGGGATCAGAGCTTTTAGGAGCTAAGTCCAGAATCTCCTTATCTTAGACACCATTTTCCAGTGTGTGCTCATCCATCTTCATGGCATTAGATACTATCGGTGAGATTAGGTATTGTCCCACGTATATATATTTTATTTTTTGGAGTCTCACTCTTGTCACCCAGGCTGGAGTGCAATGGCACGTTCACAGCTCACTGTAGCCTCGACTTCCTGGGCTCAGGCGATTCTTCTGCCTCAGCCTCCCAAGTAGCTGGGACTACAGGCGTGCACCATCACACCCAGCTATATATTTAAAAAAATTTTTTTTTATAGAGATGAGAACTCACTGTGTTGCTCAGGCTGGTCTTGAACTCCTGGGTTCAAGAGATTCTCCCACCTCGGCCTCCCAAAGTGCTGGAATTACAGGCACAAGCCACTGCGCCCAGCCCCATGTTTGCTTCTTTAGCCCAGATGTGTCCTCTGAGCCCTGACTTGTGTCTACCTGCACCTGACACCTCCGCATGTCTCACAAACTGAATAGATTGCTCAGTTCTTCTCCTCATTCCCCATCTCAGTCAGTGCTCAAGCCAGAGTCCACCTCACAGTCCAATTGATTAGTATGTTCTGTCCACTCCTCCTCCGAACCTTCCCACATCATCCTCCCTGTTAGGGTATGGATAGGGTGAGGGTGGATGGGTAGGTGAGGGGAGGCGCAGCACCGCTGGAGCCGGTGTGCCGGAGGTGTGCGCTGACACCCAGAGATCCGAGTAATGCAAAGAATTGCAACACACAAAGAGGTGAAAGAAGAAAAGATTTATTTAAGAAAAGTTCACTCCCCACAGACAGGAAGTGGGCCTACGCTCTAGGTGAGTGTGGCCCTGTAGCGGCCTACACTCTAGATGAGTGTGGCACCATAGCCCCTCGACTCCAGCTTAAATGGAGATGTTGCAATCAGGTAGACGTGACTGCTGTGACTTTCTTATCAACCACCTGCGAATGTCTTGGAGGCCCCATGACACAGAGACCCACTAATGTCTGTCCATATTATCATAGCCCCTAGAGAAGCGTGTGACAAGGATTCCAGTTGCTCCTGCACTTTCCCAAATGACATTCCTTAGAGCTAATGAAGGGTGCACCTCCCCTTATCTCCTAGGCATTCCCAGTGGGTAGCTTCAGGGGATTCTTGACTTCCCTGTAGATAGGACCCAATCTACTGGAAGATCGAATCCCCACCTGTTCCCCCTCTGAGTGGTCATAACTTTTGTAATTACAAGTTTTGTGACTTCTACAATCCTTGCCCAATGCATGATGTCTCAGGCCTTGTAAGTTCCCTTTACTCTAGGCAAGCTTGATTGCCACTTTGAGATACCTCTGGCATCAGGAAGTCTGTGTTTCTGAAAAGACAAAATCGGCAAAGTTCATCTTTATCTAAAGTATGCATTTCTCCAAAACATAGCTTCTACTTTCTCATGATTGTGTCAGGGTTTAAGAAGAAGACGAAAAATGGCTTCCCACTCTCGCTCTGTCCTTTCACTCCCTTCCCACTCCTCAGCCACCATCCCTTTTTCTGTGGCCACAACTTTTCACTGGATCCCTGTCTAGCATGCCGCCAGGGGACGTGCTGTCAATAATGATTTGATGCATTCCACATTTTTTTTTTAACCAACTGCATGATTCATAGGATTTTAACACTTCCTCTATCCAACCCTTGCGTACCACGAAGTGCCCATGAATAAATACATAAAATTTAAAAGCTGTCAATAACCCAGGGAGGTGTGTGATTTGGTTATGAAGACCCTTTTATATTGGGAAAGGCTTTTGACCTGCACCGATGGAACTATGCAGGCTGATGTCGCACAGCTGGGTGCCCTGTTTGGTCTTTCCTGGCACTTTTTCCTTCTGTTGAGCCCCACCTTTGTCATCTTGGACACCTCTGACAGTTGATGTTGTCATAGACTAGCTTCTGCACATGTGTGGACTGCCCTCTGTCACTTCTTTTTTTGGGTTTTTTGGGTTTGGATGACTAAGACGCATCGAAGCAGAAGTTCATGCAGGAAACTGATCTGGATCTCATTCTCCCTTCCTCCCCTTCTCACTGTTTTCATCTTCAGTCTGTTCTCTGGCTTCTTAGTCAGGGTCCCTGACAAGGTGGAACTGCCAGTGGAATTGAATAATTAACAGCTGGGAAATAGAACATTTTAATTTTTAATTAAACATTAATTTTTAACATTGCTACTTTTTCTTCCTGCTTGACAGAATATTTCCTATCCAAGTAATCAAACTAGAAGCTGGTTTTCTGACCCAGTCTTTCCAGAAGATGTGCAGTTGAGGAGTGGGTAGCAAGCTGACCACCTGTCAGGACTGCGAGGTTCTCAAGGGGCAGGAAAGTGTCTCATTTCTCCAATCTCAGTGCATAGCAGAACGACTTGACGCAGAGCAGGGAGCTGGAAAATGCATGTTGAGGGAGCAAGTACTCCACTGTGGCCCCTCATATAATTTTTTTTTGAGTCAGGGTCCCACTCTGTTGCTTAGGCAAGAGTACAGTGGCACCATCATGGCTCACCGCAGCCTCAACCTTGTGGATTCAGGCGATCCTTCTGCCTCAACCTCCCCAGTAGCTTGGACCACAAGCCCATGCCACCACATCTGGCTATTTTAAAAATTTTTTGCCGAGGTGAGGTCTCGCTGCGTTGCCTTGGCTGGTCTCATACTCCTGGGCTTAAGCAATCCTCCCACCTCAGTCTCCCAAAGTTCTCGGATTATAGGCATGAGCCACTGCACCTAGCCTCCTTCATGTAAATTAAATGGTCAAAGATAGTTTCCTTTTTCTCTTCCCTACCCCCACTTTATTTGTAGAATGGGGATGATAATGGCACCCACTTTCTTGAGAGACCCTGAAGTTTAAATGAGGAAATGAGAGTCAAGTACTTAGCCCCTGGCTTGGAGTAAGTATTAAATAGTGTTACCTTTAAGTCATTAAAAAATATATATTACCTGTAGGCTGGGTGTGGTGGCTCATGTGTATAATCCCAGCACTTTGGGAGGTCAAGGTGAGAAGATTGCTTGAGCCCAAGGGTTCAAGACCAGCCTGGGCAACTTGGTGAGACCTCATCTCTACAATAAATCAAAAAATTAGCTGAGCATGGTGGCCTGTGCCTGTAGTTCCAGCTACTCGGAAAGCTGAGGTGGAAGGATCACCTGAGCCCAGCAGGTCGAGGCCACGGTGGCCGTGAGCGTACCACTGCACTCCAGCCTAGATGACAGAGTAAGACTCCAACTAAAAAAAAAAAAAAAAAAAAAAAATTTTTACTTACCAAATGTCTGGCTTACACACAGCTACAAGTCTTAGCTAGTGTGCTGGGTTAGAATTACTAAAAGCTCCTTGGCAGGCTAAGACTCAGTGAATGAGGTGGTGATGCAGGAGAGTTCAGAAGTGTTGATTGTACAAGTGTAAGCTGTGCGTGTGCATGTGTGTGCTTATCGGTTTTTCTTGGTTTAAAATCCTGTCATTCAGCAAAGCTGGGGTTTTATAGGACTAAAAGCACCATGTAAACCTCTAAAATCCACAACAAAAAGCCCATCATATTCTCAGTCTGCATCGATGAAAATTTCTAAAGCAGCTAAGTTGAGTTGATATAGTATTCCCTTTAAATGAGAACAAACCTGGATTTGACCCCAGCTTTGTCAGCAGAGCAAGTAAGTGCTCATACAAGAAGCAATATAGGAGGGCAGCTCAGAGCACAGACTCCAGAGTCAGACTATCTGGGTTCATATCCCAGCTATACTCTTTACAAGCTGTGTGTGGCCTCAGGCAAGTTCCTTGGCCTCTCTGTACTGCAGTTTCTTCATTGGCAAAATGGGAATAAAAATAGTACCCACCTCAGAAGGGTGACACCTTCGCACCGTGCCTGGTTCCACAGGGAGCGCTCATCATCAGCGACCAGCTATGTGGTCTTGGGCAAGTTAATAAGCTTCTCTGAACCTTGGTTTTCTTACCTAACAATGGACATAGTAAATTGCAGGGCTGTTGTTGCAAGGATTAAATGAGGTGTATGCAATGATACCTGGACAGGTGGGTGCAGAGTGCACAGTGACTTCTTTCATGATGGAAGGAGAGCAGGAGCGACTGTGTCCCCCATGCAGCAGGCACACCTGGGGTGCTGAGGGCACAGCCACATCTCAGAGTTTCAGACAAGATGGGACCGGCCAAGAGAGGAGCCCAAAGCCCTCTGAACCAAAGTGGGGGGGTGGGGGAGGAGGTGATTCCAGCTGTGCAGGTCAGCTAGGAAGCAGGCCAGAAGCAGCGCCAGGGACTGGAGTGGGAGGCAAAGTCAGCTCAGGAAGTACAGGGCGCAGAGTTCGGTGACAAGGGACAGGAGGCATGAGGAACCTCTGCTGAGGCTTCTTTTCCACTTGGCACTGGGGCTGGGGCGAGGTCCGGGATGACACAGCTGTGCTCATCAGCCTCCTGTGGAAAAACCCCGCCTTGCTGAAGGGTAGGGCAATTCTGTGAAAGCCGGCCCTTCGCCTCTGCAGGGGTCAGCGGGGTCCTCACTGGCCTGAGGAATTTGCTGACTTTCCCCCAGCCTCTCATGAGCGCCACAGCCCCACACACAGCTGGCAGGGCCCGCCAGGCCCCACCAGGACTGGGTCTTCTCATTTTGTTGCCCCCAGGAAAGTAAGCAGATGCCAAGCAGGGCTCCAGGCCCACCCCGGGGCTTGCCGTCCTCCCCTCCTACCAGGGAGATGCAGCAAACAGGGTCCAGTGATCTCCAGGCTCCCCACTGCCCGGAGCTCCGCCCTCACTTTACCCTTTAGGGCTTTGTGCTTCGTCATTGCTCTTGTGTGGCTTCCTGTGTTTGTTGGCCTTGCTAAGTCCCTTCCAGGCTCCCTGAGTACAGAAAGCCTCCTTCCCTCGCACCCCTTTAGTGTTCACGTAGAAGCGACCTGGTCTAAGAAGAGGGTCTTTGCCGGAGCCCGGTACTCCTGCCTTGGCCTTGCTGGGCCTGGAGCCCTATACTCTAGCTTTGGCCTTGCTGGGCCTCTGGCTGAGTTCCTTCCTTTCTGGTGCCTTTGTCTCCTCAGATGAAAGGTAACACCAGAATCCCCTTAGCCTGGGGCTCTTCTTGGCTTACCACCAGATTCCCACCCAGAAATTCCTTTCTGACAAAAGGCAAATGAAAATAGTTCTCTTTCAATGCTAATGTCATTCTCTCATCCCCCTGCCTCAAGATGAGGGTCTCCTCGGGTTCAGGTGGCACCCACAGGGATAAGTGACACCCAAAGATGCCACTGGCAGCAGAGGAAGGAACTGGGGAGATGGGGCAAGGAGTTTAGAAGTAGAAGGAGAACTAAGAAAGCAGGAGAAGGGGAAGAGGGCATGAAATGTATAGATAGGATCCCCATGGGGCTCCCCAAGACAGCCTTCAGAGGCACCTAGGCCAAAGTTTCCATTCCCCACCCAGAAGGTGCTGCCCCACAAATGTCACACCTCCTGGCCCAGTTCTTGGGGTTAAGCTTCAGTTAGGATTCAAGGGCAGTCACCACAGGTCATAGCTGCCCCTTTTTTTTTCCCTTGGACAGTCTCTGCCCTGCCATGGCAAAGCTGTCTGGACTCATGGGGCTCTGTGTTTTAACCACCAGGAGACGCCCGGAGGTTGTGACAGTGACCAGATGGAAGGCACCGGTTGTGTGGGAAGGCACTTTCAACAGAACCATTCTAGAAAATTATTATGCCAAACAGAAAATTACCGTGGGGCTGACAGTTTTTGCTATTGGAAGGTAGGTGTCACTGGTAAAATTGGCTTTGACTTTTTCTTGTTCCACTGGCAAAGTGTTTGTGAAGGAACCCCTGGATTCATGGAGGGTGTCCACAACTTGTCTAACTTAACAGACAGGAGAATGTTTCAGTGGGACTGTTTCAGTCTCCCTTCCACGGAGGCCCCCAAAGGCTGAGAACAGGTAGATGAGCCCACCCATTTCACCTCAGAGTGAGGGTCTCAGGTTGCAGGAAAAAAATGTCTGCTACACCAAGACCAGAGTCAACAGCATACCCACAACTACCTCCTACCTGACCTCATGGCTACTAGACAACCCAAAGGTGCAGCACCCCCCCCTATGCTTTAAGGGCCAGGACCAAGGACAGATGGATCTGCCACAAGTTCTAAGGTGCAAAGTGGCGTACGCACAGCAGTTTTTCATATTGGAACATAGCTGAGCACTCTTCTACGGTTCCTCAGGTCACTTCTACCTTATCCCTGCTGGAGGATTTGGCCCTTGAAGATTTGGCTGGTCAGAACTTCCTCTTCCAAAGTTGGATAGGTTCTAGTTTCAGCTTCCATTTCCTCATTCAGGACATTCGAAAAACTGCCATTAGTCTCAACTTGAACATTCTAGCTGCGATACTAGTTGTTAAACCCATTTTGACTTTTTTGGAGAATTTTTTCTTTTTTTTTCTTCAAAACAAAACTGAAGGTTCAGTTTTTCTACTTTTTTTCGGTCCTCTGGGCCTTTCCATCTGTACCTCTTCTGAAACAGCCACATGGAGCATTGATTCCCTTGCTTTGTACAGAGAGTCAAAAGCTCACATCCAGCCATGCTTAAGCTATGGCAAGCTAAGACCTAAAAGCTCTGAGAAGATCTGCTAGTTCTCCAGGGGTAACCATCCCCTGCCCAAGCCCAGCAGCCTTGGCTGTCGCTGACGTTAATAACCTTAATCAAGTTCTGATGTCATGGAACGTGCTGATCCCAGGGGCCCACGTGGCGTCTCTAATAAAGCAGGGTGACTGTGGAGTTTTGACATTTTTACTAGTAGAATCTGTACTGTTATGAGTCAGGAGTTAATGCACAGTTCACCCAAATTTTTGGCGTTTTTAAAGGGGATAAGCCAGCCATGTTACAGATGGATTTGATCCTGTTGTTTCCAGAAAGATCGAAACATTACCTACTGCCCCACACTGGCTTCTGCCATCCGATGCCAATTGCATATTCTGGTGAAAGCGCTCCACCTTCGGCTCTGGGGCAAGATAGGACTGTTTGTACTCAGCAACAATAAACTCCTACGAGTAGATTTGGACTTTTAGGAGGTGTGATGTTTGGTTTGTTTTCCAGCAACAATGAGTGGAGCCAACTGCAGTGCTTTAATCTCTCAACAATGTTAAGCCTCACAGTCACACTCCCTGCATTCCCACCCACCCCAGTGTTGCTTCCCAAGCTTCAGGGCACAGTAGATTTTTCTTGAAGTTCTAGAATCCTGAAGGATCTCCTGGTCACTGGCCACAGAGCCATGTCGAAGTCCCTCTTTATAGTGCTCAGATATATTCTCTCCATTTAAAGAACTGATACTGTGCCAGGCACAGTGGCTCAAGCCTGTAATCCTAGCACTTTGGAAGGTGGAGGCGAGAGGACTGCCTGGTTCCATGAGTTCAAGACCAGCCTGGGCAATTTGGTGAGACCTCGTCTCTACAATAAATAAAAAAATCAGCCAGGTGTAGTGGCAAAAGCCTAGAGTTCCAGCTACTTGGAAGGCTGAGGCAGAAGGATTGCCTGAGCCCAGCAGGTCAAGGCTGCGGTGGCCAGGAGCATGCCACCAAACTCCAGCCTGGGTGACAGAGTGAGACTCCAATTAAAAAAAAAAAGCCCTGAGCCGGGCTCGGTGGCTCAGCCTGTAATCCCGCGCCTTTGGGAGGCTGAGGTAAGTGGATTGCCTGAGCCCGCGGGTTCGAGACCCGCCTGAC